CGACTTACTCCAGTGTGGGAGGCACCAGGACCTCCACACAGAGTAGTCTCATGGGTACTTCTTCCTTCTGTTTTTACACTCAGATCTGCTATGACAAGTTACTAGTAATGAGAAAACCTCTTTTCTAACAGTCTTGTCTGAGTAGTTAAACGTTTCAAAGACACGGGTGTGGGTGGGGGTGTGTGTGTGTGTGCGCGCGTGCACCCATGTGCTCAGCTGCTGAGTCATGACAGGCTCTTTGCAACCCCATGGCCTGTAACCCGTCAGGCTCCTCTGTCCATGGGATTTTGGAGTGGGTAGCCATTACTTTCTCCAGGATATCTTCCCAACCCAGGGACTGAACTGTCTCTTTTGTTGGCAGAATTCTTTACTAATGAGCCACCAGGGAATCTTCAAAGACATAATTTATACTAATAAAATGAAATAGATGATAGCGCATTCTCCCTCATTTTATAAACAGGGAAAGTGAGGCAGAGTCACTTTGAGAAAGCTGTACAAACAAAAGAGGTCAGGTATTCTGACTCAGTTTAACTCAGTAATTCCAATTCAATGATACTTGTGCTTCTGTATTTGGATTCAAAAGCCATGTTAGAAAAAGACTATCAAAAAGACCAAAGAATTTCGGTGGAAAGGAACAAACATGTCAAACAAAATATTCCTAGAGCTATGCTGTCTAGTGTAACCACATAGTGGATCAAAGACTTAGTATGAATAAAACAATGTAAAGTCATTCATTAATACATGCTGAGATGGTATTTTGTATATGTTGGATTAAATAACATATATTTTGAAAATTAATTTCACCTGTTTCTTTTTACTTTTTTAATGTGACTAAAAGAAAATCTTTATGACTTACATTATATTTCCATTAGATAGCCCTACTAGGGGTATGATATAATTACATTATACATACTTTATTCAGTTAGCAAATACTTAATCCAACATCTATCACTGTCAGGCCTATGCTAAATGCTGAGACTTAAAGAATAAACAAAGATAATGATCCCTGCCATCACAGAGTTTACATTATCTCTTATACTTCCACTACATATATCATATGTATTATCTCACTTATGGTAATGCATAAGAATAACAGAACACCATTTGGGGAGCAAATGCCAATACCTGACTTAGAAATCACAAAATATGAATCATCAGTACATTTATAGTACTGGTCATCTATTTTTGTGATACATGACTTACAATACTATGTAAGTATTCAGGGGTCTCCAGAGAAGGACAGAGGTTGAAAATACGAAGTGTCCATAATTTTAAGAGGCTGAGTTCAGATTTCTGGACCCAAGACCAAGTTTTAAAGTTTTTTTTCAGCTTCAACAAATCAGGCTGTGGATTTTGCATCAAAATTCAACACACAAATTTATTTGAGGACTTAAACAACTCTTTATTGGTTTTGTCCTACTAAGACTTTCACATAAAAAACTATCATGTAGAAATTTAAAAAAAACAAGTAGCATTTCTTGAGTACATGACTTTTAAAACAAAATATTAGGTAACATCAACAGGACAAGAGTATACAATGTTTTCTAGGCTAATAACTTTCAAGAAAATGTTACCAATAAACAATTGTTCAGGTTTTATTGACAGCTACAAAGAGCAAGCAAAAACTACTTTATCAAAAGTGTTAATCTTTCTTAATTTAATACAGAAAGTATTATGGACATATGATAGCTATTGAGAAACAAAGTTTCCAAGTTTGAAACACCCAAAATGATTTCACTGATGTTTTTGGTTGAAATCTACCATCATCTGAAATACAGATGTGTTTAGCAAAGGAATACTATCCCTTGGTTTTTAGCTGTGCAGGTGTGGTTATATATAGCTGTTTCAACATTATACAAAGCTACATATACAAACTGATACCTCATAATTTAAAAACTAAAAGGCCAAAGAAAAATAATAATTACTCCGGATTGGAGGAAAAAAAATTACCTAAGGAAAATTTAGCTGATCTCCATAAGTAATAAGATTAACATTTTGCTTTTAAAAAAGATCAAACCCAAACCTTTAAGCTAAAATACTACATATACGATCATGAGTCCTTTCAGACCATCATTAAACTACTAGTGCTAGTTTACCAAATACAATGCAAATACAATCAAATATAAAGTTAGAAGTACAACTTTTTTTTTTGGCCTTCAGTCCAAAATGGCCTAATTTTTAAATGGGCCTTAAATGATAAAAGATCATAAAGCTTAGTAAGCAGGAAATCAGCCTGAGTTTGACAATCAATTGTCACTTGTCAGAAACATCAGAAAAACAAATAAGAATTTTCTAAGATTTCCTTTATAATCTGAGTAGAGAAGAAATGGAAGAAGGCAATTCAGATATAAATGTGACAAAATTTATCCCCAGCTTACTTTCTGCCTAGCACCTAAGGATTTTTACATGTTGTCACAAATATTTGTTCCTTCTCCTCCCTAGAAAATTCAGAAAACTACATTTTCAATCCTCAATGCTCTCCAAATTGGGGAGGAGTGGGATAAGGGTGGGCAGGGATGATGAGAAACCAAAGAATTTCTGTGATAAATGTAAGTGCTTTAAAATCAGAACCTGCCATAATATACAAGAGATTCTTTCAAATGATAAGTTTGTTTCAAATTACCTATATTTAATTCCACCTAACAACTCCATACAGATACTCTTTCAATTTGATCCCATTACAGAGAGGCGACCCCACGTGTCTTAATCAACAACTACAAAAGTATTACCTTACAACTTCCTCTATTTCAAATTTGTGATTTGCATTTATTTTCCACTAAAATGCTCAAGTAGCTTTATAAATAGACAGTTATCTCAGTATCTTTCACATATTAAGTAGAAAAAAAAAACATTGTTTCATTTAACCTAGTAAAAAGGCACCCAAAATTCTATAAATACCACCAAAATTTTAAAAATTCCAATACTGGTCTAAAGACCGTAAAATGGGCTGTTCTTTACATAAACTCTAATGATCAAGTGAAGCACCATCCAAAGGAAACACCAATATTTCAAATAGCTACTATCTGTAGACTAAAAATTGAGTTGTGTTTCAACTCTTAAGATAATGTTACAGTTTTAAAATATAACCTCACTGGAATCTTCCTGGAAGTCACAGATACTGAAAAACTCCCAAACCACTCCAGTATTCTTGCCTGGAGAATCCCCATGGACAGAGGTGCCTGGTGGGCTACAGTCGATGGGGTCACAGAGTCGGACAGGACTGAGCGACTAAGCACACACACTAACATTAGTTGGCCAAATGTAATTTTTCCTCAGAAAAGACCCTTTGTTAAGGTATTAAAACAGTTCCTGAGGACATATGAAATTTAAATTTCAGTTACATTGTATACAATAATAAAAAGAGAAATAAAGCTAACAAAAAGAGGTTTTGTTGTTGTTGCATAATTTGGTTTATTTATTAAGTCCCAAGACTCTAAATCTTTACAATCTAAATTGTAAGTAGCAGGCAAGGAACATCTGAAATGTTAACAATAGATCATCGCCATTTTCTAAATAGAAATATTTACATTTCGATTCAGTTCTGACAGCTGGGTGTTAAGGAAGCATAAACTGGCAAATACGGTAAAAATGGCTTGACTTATAAACCGAAGTGGAAAGATGCTTATGAAGATGGTTAATGGCAAAACTGAAAATGAAACTTGGGCATACCATCAGACTTCACATAACAAAATGGGTCAAGGAATTTAGTTAAAATAAAAAAATACATATGTATAAATGAAAACACAGTCATGTTCTTACCACTTCCCCCCCCCCCCCAAAAAAAAGGAATGGAAAGGAAAAATCAGGAACATTTTAAGGCAACCGATCAGAGGAAAGAACAGCTTTATTCCTACACTGTTTACTAACATTTAACACGAGCATTTGCAGCCAACACCTGGGTTTGAAAATTGCAGCAGCATTTAAACGCTGTCCTTTTTAACGTCCACCCAACAAGACTTTCAGCAACATTCTGAATAGTAAATATTAACCAGATAAAGCATCGTTCGTTTATTTCTATCTTCAAGAGCTAATGGGGGGGGGGGGGATAAGATCTTTCTTTCTCCCATATATAGCCATTCTTTTCCCTCTTTTATTTACTGCCCTTGTCGTGAGGTTAATGAACCCTAAACTTATTTTCCTTCCTCCTATTAATGAAAGGGGATGGGGAACGATAGAGGGGAATTCAAATGATAGGAAAAACTGGAAATTAAAAACAGTGGCATTACTTGCTGGATGAAGACGGAGAAATCTCTCAAGGTTTAGCACGAAGAGACAATCCTGGAAGACCCCCCTCTTAAGACATACTTTACCCCAAGGCCACACCAGTTTTCGTCGGTTTAATTTCTGCTTTTGCAGGGGGTGGCCGTTCCCCGGATGAACGTTCCCCGGGGCATGCCTCTCTCTTTTCCCCAGGGAGCCCCCAGCTGCACCGGGTGTGGGGGGTTGGGTGGGGGGCGTTGGCTCCGGCTCCAAATTTTGCAGCGAGGCCCGGAAATCAGTCCCGTTAAGAGCCGATTTCACCCATCAGGAATGCGCTCCGCCCCCGCCGCCGCCTCCCTGCCGCGGCCGCCCTCCGCGTCGCCTGCTCCGGGGGGCCGGGGAAGTGCCGGAGCGGAGCGCCGCCTCCGACCCCGTCACAACACCGCCGGGTCGGCCGCCGTCGCCCCAGACTGCCCCGGCCAGGAGGACAGGGCTCGCGGGGCGGATCCCAAGCCTCGCCTCCCGCCCGCGCGGCCGCCAGCGCCGGGGCCGAGCCGGGGAGTGGGGGCCGCGGATCCAGCGCGAGGCCTGACCCCCAACCAGCCCGTCAACCCCCGGCGCCGCCCCTGCCCCGCCGCTCAGAGCGCGAGAAGGGGCGCCTCTCCCGTGGGATTTCCGAGTCCATTTCTGTCCCGGGGAGCGGCCGGAGAGCCCCGCGTCGGAAACGGGAGTCGCGCCCCTGCCCTCCGGCTCCCGGGTGCAGCCTTCCCCCACTCACCCCACCCCGGACCCGCCCGTACCTTCAACTCCTCGGCAGGGCGCAGGGCTGCGGGCGAGCAGGCCCATCTCCCGGCGGCGGCGGCAGCGGCCAGAGGAAACACGGAGGAGGGTTCCTCAGAGCCGCCCAGGCGCCTCTCAGCTGGGGCGGGGGGAACGCAGAGGAGGGGTCCCGACGGCCGCTTTCCCGAACTCCTCCTCCGCAGTTCTGTCTTGACGGCGGTTCCCGGGAATCAGCGCCGCAACTGCCATTCTCTCCCCCCCGCCCCGCTTCCCTCAGCCCCCGCTGTCTCCGCCCCCTCCTCCCACTCCTTCCTCCCGCCCCCTCCCCGCCCAGCCGCGCCTGCCCCGCCCCGGAGCGCCGCCCGCGTGCCTTGCGTCATGGCGTCACGCCCACCCCGGCCCGTCGCTGGACGCGGGGAGACGCGGGCGTTCGCTCTCGCTCGTTTAGGCCGGTTCCCCTCACGGGAGCGTCCCACCTACGGCTCGAGTGGCCGGGAGTGTGGCGCCCCCCTCCACGCCTCCTGCTTGACCTCCGCCCGAGGCTGTCAGCGGCCCTTCCTGCCCTTTTGCCCGCAGGACTTCTCCCGGGCTCTGGGGCAGGTGTCTCAGGACAGGTTGGGGGGCGGGGGAGGGGGGGATGCCTGGAAGCCACTCTCGGGGTGTAGGGAGGTGATGAACTTGGGGACCCCCCGACTTTCGGCGTCCCGCACGCCATTGTTCAGTCCTTTTGTTTTCTTGGCGGTTCACCTGCTAGAGTGGCAGATCCCAGGGAGAGCAGGGAGGGGTTGCTGCAGCGAACTGCTTCGCTCCGCTGGAGGAAACGTCCTCTCAGAGTTCCCCCCTCACCTTCTTTTAATAGAGCGCAGGCACTGCTAAAAGCAGCGCTTTTTAGCCACAATTTAACACCCTGTGTGAGGGTTCGGAGAATATATACCACTCGCCTCTTTTTTTTTTTCTCCACCTCTTTGATATCACGAAGTCGCTTAAGTATTCAGAATTCATATTTCAGTCCTGTTCGATACCTTCTAAATGACTTTAATCCACTTTTTCTGTCCCATCCCGTCCTAAAAGCCAGTCATACCCTCTCTGAATTTTTTAACCTCCACATGACTGGTTATCAGTTCTTCTTAGTTGAATAAACACATTCAGGCCATTCCTTCCTAGTTGATTTCAAGATTCAGTCACTCTTTGGAATACTGAGAAATAGGGATGTGATACATGCTGGACTGTGTGTCTTTTTGCCATCTGTTACTTAACTATATCACCCTGTCAATCCTTGTTTTAGTGAGACTAATTAGACACAAAGGAGCCGTGAGCATACTTGGTATCTTTGGTAACCTAGTAAATGTTTACCAATTAGAAAGCTAAACAATCTAGGCAGTTTAGGTCTAAGTATCTTTGACCACAAATCTTGAAGTAATCATGGATATGTTCGTTTTTATTAATCCGATGTTTTAAAGCTGTTATATATTCCTTTCAGTGCTATTTGAAGGCTGCCAGCAATTTATTAAGTGGGATACTTTAAGCCTATAGGTAGTACAAGAATAGTAAGTTAAATGGATTTATAGAATTGAAACCGCGGTGTCTTTCAGAGCTCTGGTGCTATGTAGCTCTTTATGTCTCAGCGCCGAAAAGAATCGAGAGGCAAAGTGATAGACAAGTGATTTATTAGAATAGAAAACCAATGAGGTTTAGAAGTGGCAGATAAGAAAGGCTGTGCCCTGAGAACTTACTGGGCTGCGTTTCATAATCAAAGGAAAAGTGGGGAGGAGGAGAAAAGCTTCTCTTGTCTTTCTTGAGTAGATGCTGTGCTTCCATCATCATCAACTCCTCCTTGTTATTCAGGAGAGTTTTCTTATCCCTACATGGTCAAGCTAGGTCCACAAATAACTGTTTTTATGCATATAGAGAACGTGTCCTGGGGATCATTAACTTACTGTGCTCGCTGGGCAGTATGTGGGTCTCATGCCACCACTGTTCTGTTGTTTGGATGCCTGTCTAGTGTTCTGCTGCATGGTTTTGTTGCTAAGCAAGCCTGCTTGGTTTTGTGGTTCAGCAAACCTGCTTTCTTGAATAATCATTAACTTACAAGGGTTTCCCATATTTTTTCTACTTATAGTCCCCTAAGTGGGATTAACTATTTAATCACCTACTTTGTCCCTTTATTCTGTCCCTGTCAGAATGGTACCCATACACTATATAATTCTTCTTGTAATTATGTCAACATGTTGAACATTTCAGAACAGATGGGGCATTGGCTTGGAAGGGAGTTTTGAGTATAGAGGCTCTGCAGAGTGGGAATGGCCTTGTGTTCTAATTGTCATAATTTCCGGAGATGCCTTTTCCTACATTTCTTGTTGGTTAGTTGCTCAGTCTCCGACTTTTACGATCTCATGGACTGTAGCCTGCCAGGCTCTTCTGTCCGTGGGATTTGCTGGGCGAGATTATTAGAGTGGGTTGCCATTTCCTCCTCTAGGGGATCTTCCCAACCCAGGGAGCAAACCCATGTCTCCTGCATCTTCTACATTGCAGATGGATTCTTTGTTGCCAAGCCACCAGGGAAGCCCTGTGCTTCGCTAGAAAGTGTAAATCTATTAAACAATCTGTTGAACAGCTACACTCAAATCCCCCCAAGCAGTTCACATGTAGCCTGTCCAAGACATAATTTGTTATCTTTTTCTCAAAACTTGCCTCTATCTTTTAACCAGGACCATGCCAGAAATCTAGGATTCTTCCTAGGCACCCACTTTTTGATCAGTTACAATTCATAATTAACCACCAAGTCCTGCTTATTGTGTTCTAAATAGCCCTGCACTCACCCTCTCTTCTATATCCCCCTTCTGCATTTGGAGCAGTGGTTTCAACTTTGGCTGCATGTTAGAATCTCTTGCAGAGTTTTTAAAAATCCTGATGTCCAGGATGCATCTACCAATTAAATCAGGAGTACTGAGGATGGCACTCAGATGTCAGTATTTAAAACTCTCCAGGTGATTCCAGTGCAGAGCCAAGGTTGAAATGCAGTGCCAGGGCTTCATAATTTCTCACTGGATTACTGAAGAAGTGTAATAATTTTTGACATTCTCCCTTCTTTACCTACTTTCTTCTAATTCATTCAGTATTAATTCAGTAAGTATTTATTGGGTGCCTAGTATATGAGGCAGAGAAGGCAGCGGCATCCCTCTCCAGTACTCTTGCCTGGAAAATCCCATGGATGGAGGAGCCTGGTGGACTGCAGTCCGTGGGATTGCTAAGAGTCAGACACAACTGAGCGACTTCACTTTCACGAATTGGAGAAGGAAATGGCAACCCACTCCAGTGTTCTTGCCTGGAGAATCCCAGGGTGGGGGGAGCCTGGTGGGCTGCCGTCTATGGGGTTGCACAGAGTCGGACACGACTGAAGTGACTTGGCAGCGGCAGCAGTATATGAGGAGAGGGTTTTGCTATTATAGAAAGTAGGACTATAGCAATGGAAAAGGTCTTGTATCTGTTCTCATGGAACACAGATTCTGGGGGCAGATTTAGGGAAGGCAGAATAAATAACAAAAAAGACATAAAAGGAAATAAATTTACCAGAGTAATGTAGAAACCAGGGACCTTGTTACTTCAGTTTGGGGTATCAAACTAAAGTCCACTCCTCTGGCATTTGAGCTGGTTTCTACAAGATAAGGAGGAAAACAAACTAAGGGGTGGGGAAGGCAGAGAGAACAGCAGATGCAAAGGTTGTAGCAAGACAAACTTGCCGAGTTCAAGGCAACTAGAGGCTTAAGCGGGGTTTCCAGGTGACTCAGACAGTATAGAATCCTGCAATGCAAGAGATGTGGGTGTGATCCTTGGGTCAGGAAGATCCACTACAGAAGGGAATGACTGGCTACCAACTCCCGTATTCTTGCCTGGAGAATTCCACGGACAGGGGAGTCTGGCGGGCTATAGGCCATGGGGTCGCAACGAGTCAGACACCACTGAGAGACTGACACACCCACACACAGAGGCTAAAGCATCGTGACAGGGGATGTGATGTAGGCTTACAGAGGCAAGGAGGAGGCAGATTAGTAAGACCTTTTAAGGTCATGATAAGAATTCTAAATAGTTGGGGCAGTGTGTGATGAGAATCAATAGATTAAGTGGAGTGACCCCCAATTTACCTTTGGAAAAGATCGCTGTCCTTGTTTTTGTGGATCAGATCATAACAGAGCTAGAGCAGAAACAGGGAGAGCCCTTAGGAAGCTATTACTAGAATTCAGGAAAGACGTCATAGTTCTTTGGACCAAGGTGGAGACAAAAGAGGATGATCTTGGTATTTGCTTTAGAGGAAGAATTGAGAAGACTTGCTTGGATTGGAGTAAAAGTAGGGAATGAGAGAGAGCAGTGAGGTAACAATAATAACTACTCTATATTGAATACATATTACATGACAGGCACTGTTTTAAGTGCTTTATAAGTAGTAGGCCATTTAATTATAAGACTCCCAAAAGGTAGGTGCTATTAATATACCACTAACAAATGAGGATCTGAGGCTTAAGAGGTTAAGTCATTAGCACAAAGTTACATTGCTGATAAATGGCAAAGCTGAAATTTGGACCATGCAGGCTATCCAGCTCCAGAGCTCCTAACCTTCCCCCTCCTCTACCCCAGCCCCCTCCACTGGTGACACAAAGTGAAAATTTCTTTAGCCACACAAAACTGCTTGCACAAAACCTTTCTCCTTTCTCCCTCAGCTCCTCTGTCTGTCTGACACTTGAGCATCTACTTTTCTCTGCACTTGCCATCTGCTCTGCCTAGAATGCCTCCTCCCTTCTCTCCGTCTCGGTCAATACATCAACCATCACTGGTCCTTACAGGCTAAGCTGAGCACATCTTCTCTAGCTCCACAGCAACACTTAGATCTATAACTTTCTGTGTAAAGCACTCATTATTATTTATAGGTCTTTTCTACTAGACTCTGAAGTCAGGTAGCTTATTTCCTGACACATAAGAAAGAGAAGAAGGAAGCAATCAATGATGCCTAGCCATGTACGTGGCATGCCTTCCCTGGGCAATGGGAGATACAAACACGGTAAAGCATTGTCCCTGCTTTCGAGAAGATTGTAAACTTGGCAAGGAAACAGACACAGAGAAAATTGCTCTTAATCCAAGGACCCAAAGAGTGATAAAAGCATGTAGGAGCACTGGACAGGACATTGGAGGGAAGAAGCTCAGCTTTAGTGTCGTTTCGTTGGGGAAAGCAGCAACCAGGAAGGGGACCCTGGGTGCTTTGTTCTCCATCGTCATTTAACACGGCTTGAGGAGGCAGTATGGGGACCTCATCCAGGAAGACTTGGAGATT